GACGTCACCCAAAAGGCTTATGTTGGCAAGATCAAGTAGAGGACATTAGCGGTGACACTGTGTTAACAGATGAGTTCTTACATAATTTTTTATGCCTAACCTGAATTCCTTCTTTTTTAAAAAATATTTTATTTATTTATTTGACAGAGAGAGATCACAAGTAGATGGGAGAGGCAGGCAGAGAGAGAGAGAGAGAGAGGGAAGCAGGCTCCCCGCTGAGCAGAGAGCCCGATGTGGGACTCGATCCCAGGACCCTGAGATCATGACCTGAGCCGAAGGCAGCGGCTTAACCCACTGAGCCACCCAGGTGCCCCCGAATTCCTTCTTGATGGGCATTTGGCCAGTATCGTTCATCCTGGCCTTTTGGGAAGCTGCCTGGAAGTTGTGTCTTCTATACACTGGCCTTGGGGTCCTTTCAGTGTTTGCTAACCCTTGTGAAATGGTTGAGTCAACTTTAGTGCACATTTACTGAGTATCTTTGCAGTGCCCGGCCCTGTGGGGCTGGGGCTGGAGTGGGAATACAGAGATGAAAGACACAGTCCCCGCCCAGGAGATGCCCTAGAGAAATGGGGAGAGGAGGAGGAGTCCGTGCCATGTGGCTCTGCTTGGGGCATGGGTGGAGTGGGGGAGATGTTTTCTTGTGATGGCATCTGCAATGGGCTGAATAATGCCTCCCCACAAATGCCTGACACCTGGAACCCAGACTGTGACCTTATTTGTAAATAGGGTCTTTCAAGATGTAATTAAGGTGAGGATCAAGGTGAGATGCTCTAGTTTAGGGTAGGCCCTAAATTCAGTAAGAGACAGAAGAGGACACACTCGGAAGAAGGCCTTTTGATCCCAGAGGCAGATTCTGGGGTGATGGAGTTCCAAGGTAAAGCATGACAGTTTATCTGATAATGAAGCCTTTGCATCCAGAATAGCCCGTATCCTCTGGTGACGTTTAGGGCCCATTCAATTGTGCACCTGCTCATTCATTCTGCAAATGCGTCAGTACCGTTTGTGTGCCAAGCACTGACTGAACTTGGCCTAGAGGTTCATAGGGACCAAGACTCTGTGGGCCTCCATGAAGAGCTCCCATTCTAGGTCTGGTAACAAGTCTCTACGGTGCTACAGTGTGGAAGGAGCTAAATAAAGAGGTGGGGGGGGGGAGTGTAGAAAAGTTGGAGAAGTTTCCATGGAGGAGGTGAAGGTTGAGTAAGAGATCAGGAGGCAGAGCAGGGAAAGGCATCTTGGTCGAGGGAATAGCATGTGCGGAGGCACAGAGGACAGCATGGCATGTTGGGGTGAGGCAGGGTTGTGTCGATATCCTGAGAAGGATGAAGTATCTGAGTAAGACTTGTTGTAGTCCTCATCCTCTGGGACCCTACAGATTTTTGTTATAGGTGGCAAAGGTGAATTTAGCCACTTTCTTCCTCTGGATGCTGGTTTCTCTGCTGGCTCCTCTTCTGCTCCCTGGTTTATGTTGGGACAGGGTTTTTGATATTTTTGTCAGTGTTTTCTAGCTTAGCTCTTATTCCACTTCATTTTTGTCCTTTCCCTTGTTGCCTGTTGAGATGATTAGTCAGACTATCCGACATTTTTTTGCTTAATATGTTTCAGTTTAACTGCTGCTGGCTAAATATACTTTGACCTCAGCTCTGGGCCGTGACTCTCTCCTCAGCCAGTGAGACGAAGGAAGCCTCATGCCAAAATTTTCTGTCGCTTTCTTTTTGGACTGGGATAGTCCTCAGCAGATTGGAAAGCATCCATTCTGGCCTGGGGGTGCGTTTCATAACCCAGTTCAGATGTAGGGCTTGGCCAGAGGTTGCCCAGGTGTATGAACACACCTGCCACGGAGCGTCTTACCTGATGCACGAAGCTGGCCTGCCATGTGGGTCCAAATGTGTTCGGCCCTGGTGCCATCTTTCTATAAATTCCAGGAGACAATTGACTTTGCTTTTCTGCACCCCAGGGAGACTTGGATAGGCTCCGAGCAGCCACAGACTCGGACAGCTTAGTATATTTTGGATTAAGAGAAGGGGAAGGAAAGTGGATGCATTAGCAAGTCTCCGACAGAAGGAATTCTGGAGGCTGCCGAAGGAGTTCATAGATGGCAACACTCCCACTTCCAACTCCAGGCAAAAAGGGCTGTCTAGGATAAGCTCTCAGCCTCCAGGCCTGACCTAGGTGGGCCATGCTAATTCTCTCCCAGGGTGGGAAAGGGGAAGGGGAAGAGGGAAGGACACAGTGACCCCTTAGCAGAGGATCTGAGGTGCTTACCCCAGGAACTATCCACAGGAACGTCTGAGTTTGAAATGGACCTTCTAGAGACAGTGTGGATTCAGCAAATTTATTCTTTAATCCACTTGTGCTATACTTACCGGGGATCTATAATACATACAGCGGATGGTGAGCCCAGCCCTGGGAATGTGGATGAGGATAGGGCAGATAGGAACCTGGAGGGGAAGACAGCAATGAGGGTCTCAGAGGGGATGTATAGGAACAATGAGGACACTTAATGGGAGAGAGAGCCCACCCAGGCTAGGGTAGGGGGGCACGGAAGGCCTCTGATGCGGTGAATTTTAATCTGGCAGGTAAGGTATGAATTGAAATTAAGTCAAACACAGAGGCGAGAGAGGTGTGTGTCAGACAAGAGAGAGGCGGGAGTGAGAAGGGGAAGTGATGAAGGCTGGCTGGAGTTGGGGGCGGTGAGCAGTGGGGAGCAGGAAAAGGCAGGGCCAGAGACAGGTGGGTGCTGGTGGCAAAGGCCCTGGAGGGGAGAGAAAAGACTGGGGCTCTATGCAAAGGTCTCTGGGAAGCTGTCAAGTCATTTTAAGCAGGTGAGGGATATGAACAGGGTTGTGTTTTAAAAAGATTAGCCTGGCTATTGTTCGAGGAAGGGTTCGAGGAAGGATCCGAGTTGGACAGGCGTGGAAGCAGCAAGGCCACTTAGGCTGGTCGACAGTGAAGGCAGAGGGACTGAGGTGATGGCTGTACCTGAGAGGACGCGTGCACAGATCGGATCATGGCACCGAGGAGAGGCATCTCTGAGCGGACACCTGAGGAAAGGGAGGGAGGGAACCCTGTGGGTGTGGCATCCAGGCCAAGTATGTTCTGGTGCAGGGCACGGTGCGTGTGAACACAGATGTGTGAGCCCAGAGGCCAGTGTGGCCGACACCGAGTGGGGGGACACGGTGAGAGCAGAAGGGGAAAGTTGTGAGGTGGGGGGACAATCTTGTGGGTCTCTGGAAGGCATCAGAGAAAGCTGGGAAGGCTTTGGAGAGGTTTTCTTTTCCTTTTTTTTTTTTTTAATTAAAAATTTTTTTTACTTTCGTTCCAGTATAAGCTTTGGAGAATTTTCAACAGGGGAATGACCTCTTCTGACTCACATGTTTGTGAAAGATGCCCCCAGCTGCTGGGTGGAGAGAGATTTGGGGGTGAAGGCGGAAGCAGAGACACCAGTGATGGGTGTAGATGAGAGAAGATGGCGGCTTGGACCAGAGTAAGAGCGGTGGCTGGTGGGGCTGCTGGGTCCAGCACTCCTGAACCAAATGGAGTGCAGTGTGAGGGAGAAGAGCCAAGAGCAGCGTCCAGATCTTTGGGCCTGAGAAGCTGGGAGACAGTTGTTTCCTTCTCTTAGGCTGGGGAGGCCTACCATGGGAGGAGTTGGTTTGGTGAGGAAAAAGTGAATGTGAACACATTGGCTTTGAGGTATTTAACATCCAAGTGGAAACATGGAGCGAGCCCTGGAGTCTGGAAATGGAGAACAGTGGGAAGTCAGTAGCGCTCGGGGGGGAACGAAAAGCCATGCACGAGGGGGTTCGCTCCCCTGGGCCTGAGGGTAGAGGCGAGGAATGTGTAAGGGCTGAGCACTGGGGCGCACACCATTTACTAGTGGGGAAAGAAAGAGACAAGAATTAAGTGCATAGAGTAGGGAGAGAGGGTGAGTGGTGTCCCAGAGGCAGAGTGAGGAAGGCATTTCAAGATGGAGGGGGGGTCATCTGTGTGGTGCGCTGCTGATGGGTCAGTCAGATGACAAATCAAAACGCACTGCCTGTTAGGTGCTGGAGGTGTCACTGATCACCTTTTCCAGGGAGATATGGGATCGAGAGCCTCAACAGAGGGGTTCAGAGAATGGGTTGTAGTAAGAGGTTGTAGTAACTGCTAAGGTGACAGCATCCAGGATGAGGAACAGGGGCTGACAACCTGGGCAGGGTGTCTAGACCACGGCCACATGGTCTGGGGAGCAGGGCAAAGTTTCAGATCCCAGCATGAGGAGCTGAAGTGCAGGAAGAAAGGAAAAATCCAGAACATGAACTTGGAGAGCAGGGTGGGGAGGAAGGTTCCGGCTTGAAGGCTCTCTGGTGCCCGGCTCAGGGAAGTGAGACCCATTCCAGATGCTTCCATAGCTGGGGAGAAGACTGCCAGGTGATTATAATGGGCTGCCATCTTCAGTTGATTCTGGAGCTTAAGACGGAGCCAGCTTGGGAGGCACTTTGAGACCAAGAGCGCGGTTGGGGGACATTCAGCCCTGGCATGGACAGGGCAGTAATTGCTGGGATCTCTGAAGGAATTTGTTGACTTTCCTCAGAAGAGCGATTCTCATAACATTTACCAAAATGAAAATCCTGATGAATTCTGCAGGTTTATAGCTCCCCAGAGGCTGGAGAAAAACACAATTTGGCACTAGAAGCAAACTTTATTCTGGCCGCATGGATAATTTTGCAAACACTAGATACTACGTTGCACACATGTTCCTCGAATTCCAATTTATTACATCCACAGAATGCAAAGAAACACGGTCATGGCCCATTTCTCACACTGCCACCTGGACCCTGTGCCAGGGACCCCTTTTGCTCTAGATTTCCACGATGCTCTGGGCAGATGTGGTTTTGGTCAGCGCAGCAGTTCTTTCTTTGGGAAACTGCTTCTGTCTTGTGCTGTGCAGTTTGGATGAGCTGTCAGCGAGAACAGTCAACGTGACTTCTGCCTGTAGGGGTGTGCTCTGGGATCACAGTTACAGAAGCACAAGCCCCGGAAACAGCGATTGACTCAAGAAGAAGGCATGGAATTAAGAAACAGCCAATTTGGATTATTTTCAAGGTTAATATATAGATAATGGTGAAGTTCTTTCTTGGAGATGCAACTTTAGAAAACACTGAGTTTATCAGTCGCCACTGTCTTCATACTTTGTAGGTAGAGAAGCTTGTTTGTAGCATGACGTCTAACAGAGATGAGATAGAGAAGGAGGGAAAGTAGGGGGAGAAGGGGAGAGAGGGAGATAGGGTGGGGGTGTGGAGAGCCAGAGAGGGCCAGAGAGTTCTACCAACAGTATGCCTGGTTCCGGGCCTCCAGGCTCTGGAACTTTTGGTCCTGTGGGCACTCTCTGCATCCTTTTGGGGTTACACTCCTTTGAGTTGGGTTTCTGTCTCTTACAATAGAAAGCATCTTGACTAAGACCCACAGTTACTTGCCAACTTCACGGGAAGGTGGGGGTGTGGGGTATGCACTGGAGAGTGAGGCAAGCGTGGTCAAAGAGTTTGTGAGGAAGCTGTCCCTGGGACGTCCAGGTGTCCGTCTCAGGGTCGTAGCAGTCAAAGGAGGCCAAGTCCTCGATGCTGCAGTCTGTGGTCAGCCGCCGCCCGCCCGTCACATAGAGCTTGTTCCCCATCACTGTGGCCCCGTGGTGCATCCTCCGGTCTTTCATGTCCGCACACTTGACAAATTTGTTGGATTGAGGGTCATAAGCAAGAATCCTCCTTGTGTAACCTGAAAACCAATGGCATGTTGGCAAGCTCAACATTGTTCATTTGGGACAGGAAGTCTGCAGTCTGGAAACATGTCTGTACTTTGCCATTGCCTGGTACCAAGGCTGGCCTCTGAACTAAGGTATAGAATGTTTTGATAAACTGCCCAAGGTCCAGTGTGTGGCCGAGCAGGGGTTTAGACTAAGATCTGTCTGATTCTGGCCCCTGTATCCTTAACCTCAAGTTAAAGCAGCGTTAGATTGGGAGCAGCCTCCTGATTCCACACCTTTTTCTATCTTTTTTTTTTTTTTTAAGATTTTTTATTTATTAATTTAACAGACAGAGATCACACGTAGGCAGAGAGGCAGGCAGAAAGAGAGAGGGAGAAGCAACCTTCCTGCTGAGCAGAGAGCCTGAGGTGGGGCTCGATCCCAGGATCCCGGGACCACGACCTGAGCCGAAGGCACAGGCTTTAACCCACTGAGCCACCCAGGCACCCCGAGCTTTCTCTATCTTATTGGCTTTTTCATCTCTCTCACATGTTCCCTTCTCCCCCAAGAGCCTTAATAATCCAGGGAAGGAGCCTTGGGAATTCAGGAACAGTTCCCACCACGGCCCTATCTGGTCCCCACCACTCCCTACTTTTAGGACCCCCATTTTACAGATGTGCAAACAGAGGCACAGAAAAAGATTAACAATGTGCCAAAGAGTATACAGCCAGTGACAGAGCCAGGATTTGAACCCAGGTCTGACGCTAGAACTATTCCTCTTAACCAAGACACTCTACTGTAGTTGCAGAGAAATGATCCATTAGCGGCTAATATTATTAACGGTAGCAAACATTTTTTGAGTATTTGCCATGTATCTGGGATAGTGCTAAGTGCTTTAGATATGCGAGCACATTTTATTATCACAACAATTCCGTGAAGTGGGTATTATTTCATTCCTTGTTTACAGATGAAGACAGGGAGAAACTTCTGGATGAGAAAAGAACTTTGTCAAGTCATCCACACTCCCCTAGTTGGATGGATGTGCTTTTAAAAACACTGTTTTGTAGAACAACATCTGTCTATTTAGTGACCCTTTTTCCGTGGGAGATGCCAAGTTTGTGTCCAGCCTAGCTATCCTCTGTTCCAACTCACCTCCTACGATAACAATCTTCTCCCGAAGCACCACAGCAGGGGCACACACATTCTTGATCATCCTTGTCTCCATTTTGAACCATGTGTTTCTGGAAATGTGATAAACCTGAGGGAGAAATAGAATCATGGTGCTGCACTGTAAAGTGATATATATTTTTTAAGAGATAGAAGTAGTATTTAAGAGAGTGAAATAAGATTGTTTTTCTTTTCACTTTTTAAAATGTAGGTAGATGTATTATTATCAACAAAATGTAATTAAATAACAGAAAGTATCTATTACTAGAAACTGGTCTTTATGTGAGACCATGAGATCCTCAGCTATGTCTCCACAGAATGGACCGAGAGTTACGCGTTGTAGTATGTGTTTGCTTACCTTACTTGCAACAATTTTTTCTTTTTAATGGGAAATGGAGCAACTTGGGTATTCATAAAACCAGTGATTTTTCAATCATTTCTATTTCCGGCTCATGTTTAAATTTCTGAATGTTCCCGTGTATCAGAGAGGGCCTGAGAGCCAAGAATGCATGTGGAGCTAAGTGAGGAAGGCTTTTGAACAGTTCATGCCTAAAAGTCATTAGAATCGTAGAGGAAGCATGAGAAAAAAGTAAAAGAGCAAGGAGGTGGGGCAGGGCTCCTTGGCCACGGTCTGAAATAGCATCGCAAAGCATTATTCCCAGAACATGTCCCCTTCAGTTTAAATAAAGTTCAAATATCAAATATAAAGTAGTTCACTACTAGCAAAATTTAGCACAAGAGATTTAGGATGGATTTCATATAAGAAAAGAAGGGGCAAAACATTTATTTGCCAAAGAAAATGGCATTTTTTTCTATATAAAATTTAATTGCGACCATATGAAAGACTCTATTTTTTATCATATTACCAAATTTGATCTTTACAACCATCCTATGAAGTAGGTACCATTACTTGCCCCCATTTTTCACATTAGATCATTGAGGTTCAGAGAGACTAAGTGACATGCCGGAAGTCACATGGCTAAGGAATGGAAGAGCTAGTCTGGTTGAGCCCAGAATCCAACTACTTCTTCTTCTTCTCCTTCTCCTTCTCCTTCTCCTTCTCCTTCTCCTTCTCCTTCTCCTTCTCCTTCTCCTTCTCCTCCTCCTCCTCCTCCTCCTCCTCCTCCTCCTCCTCCTCCTCCTTCTCCTTCTTCTTCTTCTTCTTCTTTTTTTTTTTAAGATTTTTATTTATGTATTTATTTGACAGACAGAGACCACAAGTAGGCAGAGAGGCAGGCAGAGAGAGAGGAGGAAGCAGGCTCCCTGCTGAGTAGAAAGCCCAACGTGGGGCTCCATCCCAGGACCCTAAGATCATGACCTGAGCTGAAGGCAGAGGCTTTAACCCACTGAGCCACCCAGGTGCCCCCAGGGTCCAACTTCTTAACCACCGCAATCATGACTCTGCCTGGGGCCATATAGGTGTCGCCTTTCTTGATGGCGCATTTTGAGACTGAAGACCTCTCGAGGTCTTTCCATTCTTGAAGCTGATGAAGCCTAGATGAGGCCATGTGATAGAGACAGCCTGTTAAGCCTCATAGTTTCATCTGAAAATACATAGATGACACTGGAAAGTGGGATCCTTGGAGTTAAAGTAAACACTGAGTGAGTAATTGCCTCCTGGCTCTCTGTTCTTTGTCAGCAAGTTTGGGGTATGGTTTCAAAGATAGATTAAACATCTGCTCACAATCCTCATCGTACCCCCAGAGAGCTGGGGGCAAGGATAACAAAGATGGTGTTTGACCAGTGGAGGAAGTGATATTTTGTTATGGTGAAGGATTTGCTCAGTGCCATCCAGAAACAGAGGGAGAAAGGCGGCCAGGGAGAAAGGTATACATACACACACAAATTACACAGTGATACCACTGTTCAATAGTTCCTAAAAGAATGCTTGTGTGCAGAAGAACCATCCTGTAAAGAAAACTGAAACTGTGCCAGAAAATCCAACCTACTCCATCAAGCAACCCCCACACATTGATCTCATGCTATAGTTGAATGAGTAAAATCACCATTTCAAAGCCAAGGCTAAGTAGATGAGAAAAGCTTCTATGAATGCTTTTCCCCTTTACCCCGTTCTCACCGCTGCAGTGTAAAAGGATTACTCACATGGTAGTGGGTTTTTTCCCCACCTGCCTTTGCAAGCATCTTGTTCGATGGTACCATTCATTTTTTGATACGCCAGCTTGAAAGCTTTTCTGAGATTTGTATGTGTTCTTAGGAAATCAATAACAACTTTGCAATGTGAAGTCATTAGCATTTTTTGTTTACTTCATTTTGAAAAGTACTTTTGTAAAAGAGGGAGGGGTTCTAGCTTTACATAGAAGCCCTCTGTTACGTCCACATTGTGTGGCCAGAGCTTGGTGGGGGGCCGCCATGTCTCTCTTGGCTCAAATATATGAGTGGGACTTGGAACAGGCTCAAAATCTGCCTAGATGGTCAGAGAAGAGCTGAGAATACGGGCTGGGGAAACGAAGGCAAGACAAAACAGGAATTAAATTGAAGCTTGTTACTTTTCTCCGTCTCCACTGGCACCAGCTTAGCCCAAGCCACTGTCATCCTGGCTGGATCTCTGGAACAGTCCCCTGCTCTCCTCCCTTTGTCCACGCAGGCCCCTCGAATCCCTTTTGCACAGGGCATCCAGAGGGAGCTTCTAAAAATGCAAATTTGATGACTTCAGCCACCCTGTTACTCTTAGGCTACAACCCCAATTCCTTGACAAGGCCTAGAAAGCCTGCTGGGTCAGCCTCATGTCCACAAACACCTATCCCCTGGGAATGTTCCAGAATTTCTATAGTAGGGGCTCAGGGGCAGCAGTCTGGGTGAAGGGGGGGCACTCAGGGCAGCTTGGGAAGGGGGCTGATGGAGAACATGTGAGAACTAACTCCTCTCCTCCCCACCCCAAGCTCCACTTAGATATACCGCCTTTTCGCTTCCCGCTGTGTCCCAGCTACATGGTCAGTCTGTCAGTCCCTCCAGGTGTTGGGCTGTGCCCTTCTCTGCTCCAGAGCCTTTGGTTCAGCTGTTTCCTTACCTGGGACCACCCCTCCCTCAACCATCCCCAATTCCCTCTAGACTGGCTTAGGGCACGTCTCATGCTCTTAAAGCACCCCTCCAGTCAGCACGTGAATTGTAATTTTCCTGAAGCTACTGGAGGGTTAAGTGCATGTCCTGCTCATGCCCATGTCCCCAGGGCTCTTACAGGGGGCTTGGGCTCGAGATAGCTCTCATCAGTGGACATAGCAACTACCAGGGAGCTCCTTGATCATTGTTAAAGACAGGCTCATTATTCATGTTTTTCATAACACAATGTGAACTGCAGAGATTAGAACTTGCATAAAAGACTTAATATTCTGAGATTTTGCTTTCTGTTGGTAACACTTCTCAGAGAGCTTGCTAGTGATGTTAGTTAGTGTCTACCTGTCATTTAAGGCCAGGGTTCTCCAACCTGGCTGCTCCTTAGGATCTCCTGGAGACGTCTGTAACAGGTATATGTCCGGACCCCCACAAAGAGATTTTGATTCAGCTGATCTGTGGTTGGGCTCCCAGGATTTGGTCACAGACTGTAGACCAATGCTTGGGACTCTTCTTCTAAGGCCTTGCTGATTTGGGTGAGAGGATCTGCAGATTTCCTACAGAACTTCACTTTCTGATATTCCATGTGTTCTAGCTTGAACTTTTTTCTTTTTTTTTTTTTTTGAACTTTTAGAGATACTAATTTTATCTCTAATAAAGTTAGAGATAAACTCTTCATGGACAGGGATCGTATCTAACATTCCTTTGTGTGTATTCATCGTACATAACCAGAATTCATAAATGGATAAAGTCTTACTGAATTTAAACTTTCTTCTTTCCTCCCTCCCTTCCAACTTTCCTTTCCTCCCTCTTTTATGTTTTCTCTGCAAAGGATAGTGAGTACGTGGATTATAGGTATGTGTGCATGCACTCATGCAAGCAGGTATCCATGAATGTGTATGTGCATGTATGCACGTGTGTTTATATGTGTACACACACATATGGGTATGTGTGCATGTGTGCACTCATGCACTCTCATGATGGGAAGGACCAGCCATTTACCTGGATAAGGCGTACAGGATTCTGCATGATGTCCTCTCCCCCAAAAAGGTAGAGTCTTTGGTCTTTCACAGCAACCGCAGGGTGGAGAACCCCCACGGGCATGCTGGCCATGCTCTCCCAGATGTTGAAGATGCTGTTGTATCTCTCCATGGAGCCCATGACCTCCTGCCCTTCTCCAATGCCCCCAATGGAGAAGATGAAGTTCTCATGGGCAGTGCTTCTATGAGAGTAGCGGGCCACCAGCATGGGCTGCCCCAGCCTCCATTGGTTGAGCTTCAGGGAGTAGATGTAGACGTTGTGGCTTGGCACGTTCTTCCCTGGCCCGACAGCCATGCCTCCTAGCACGTAGATGGTGCGGTGCAAGGTGACGGCTGAGGCCTTATATAGGCGAGTTGGGAGTTTAGCCAGGTTCTGCCACTGGTTGGTGTGTCTGTTGTATAGTAGAACGTCCCTGGTGGTCTGCTGGTTGTCCTTCCTCCCACCCAAAATGATGAGAAAATCCTGGTAAGAGGTTCTTGGGGGGACGTGCCATGGAGGCCGGAGGTCTGGGGCACTGGTGGTGCTGTACGTGGCAAACATCTGCCTCTTGGCCATCTCCAGGATGGTCTGGCATGAGGGCGAGGACTGCAGGAGGGCATCGTTGGCGATGAAGTGGTGGAAGAAGGCCGGGTGGGTGTACGGAAGCCTGACCTGCTTGAACAGCTCCTCCACGTGTCGCTTCCGGGCCTGGAGGTCATGCTTGATCCAAACCATGAGGGCCTCGAACACCTTTTCCTCCTCCCCGCAGAGCCCGTCATCCCCCAGGTAGTCTCTCAATTCCAAAGCACAGAGATCCTTCAGGTCGGCCGAGGCAGCCACCTCAGGGAAACATGTCAGGGCCACCTCCCTGGCTTTCTTCTTGAGGGTCTCACAACTCAAGGTTTCGGAGAGTCGGATCATGCCCAGGCAGTTGCTGGGGGCCAGCTGGCTCTGGAGGTAGGAGGAGCAGGCCTCCAGCAGCTTGGGGTACTGAAGCATGGAGGCCGCCTCCATCAAAGGCAGGACGTTCTCAGCCGTGATGGGCACCTCCCCTGTGTACACGTACGAGATGATCTGGTCCAGAGTCGCGGGGTCGATGCCTTTCAGCTGGACTTTGGCCTCGCTTCTCTCCCGGAAGTTGCTGCAGAACATGGCCCGGAAGTAGGGGCTGCTGGAGGCCAGCACACTTCGGTGGCAGGGGACCTCCCAGGTCCCTGCACAGATGCTCACATCAGTCAGCAGCCTGTTTTGCCTCAAGCTATTGAGCTGCCTCAATAAGTCAGAGGAGAAGTCGTGGTCTTTGAAGAGCAGCCCATCCGGCGACTCCTCATCCATCCTAGAAGGAGGGGGAGAGGTCCCAAGGGGAGGCGTGTGCTGAAGGGTTTAGCTGTGGTGACTCCAAGACTTGGAGACTCCAAGACTCAGTGTCCATTCACTAAGGTGCTGTGGATATTGCCAAGAAGGTTGCTTAGTGAAGATTGGAAAGAGAGGCCACCTACACCCCACACCTCACAGCCAACACTCTCTTTTATGGTTACTCCCAAAGGTGAAAGGCAAAGAGCATCTTCAGATAATCTTAGAAAAACAGAACAAAACAAAACAAAAAAACAACTACCGACACGGTTGGAAGTTACCTGATGGTCAGGGGCTGAAGCAAGTCCCTGCATTTGAAACAGTCCCTGCATTTGACCAGCCCAAACCTGTGAGCCCTGCTCTAGCTTCTCAGCACATCTGTTATTCAGTGAACTCATGTAAGCATCTTTCTGGGTGTTAGTCATTCCCCGAGGAGTCACTCTGCGGGCGTGGCCCTCTGGCATCAGAGAGTACTGAAGGACGAAAATGGGCCTTTGCGATTTATTTTTTAAAAACATGACTTCACAGAATCTTTGGGGGTTTTGTTTTAGAATGTGATAAAGAGAAAGCAGAGACCAAACAACACTCTGGGCAGGGTTTCCAGGATGACACCTGGCAGTCTACCTGCGGAAGAACTAGGCATTAGAGATCTTTACCTTGGTTTGCAGCAGTGACGTCCCCCAATGCCCAGTCTGCCTGGTCCCTCCGGAGACCTTCCACCTCTGGCTCCAAGTGAAACCATAAACCCAGGCCTTCCTTCAGTTGGCAAATGATTTGTCCTGGGAGAGTTCTGGATTTGTTTATGCAAACGGTGCTTTCACAGTTTTCTAGAACTTCGGGAAAGAAGCACCGGGCAGGGAGACAGTGTATACATTCCAGGGCTAAGAATAGTTGCATATGTACTTTCCACTGTTATGACATGTGACTCTCCAGTTGCCTTTTGCAGCAACCCGAGGGCCTGCCGGGCCAGCGCATGCCCACATGCCTTGTTTCCTTGGTAAGTGTTTACATCGGCATAAATAGATCTGGAGGAACAGCTTCTCTTAGAGAAGACTTTGCTGCCCACTTGGACACATCTCGGGTCCCTTGTCCTAAAAGTGCCTGTGAATTCTAGATGTTTGTAAACAGGTTGCTGTGACTTGGGACAGTCACTGAAGATAGTTCTGGGCAAGTCGAAGGTGACGGATGGTCTTAGGGAGGCCGGAACATGCCCGAGGATACTGTTCCGTGGGTCTTTATTTCTTGCTGTCTGCTGGCAGGATCGTCGGAGAGGGCTGTGCTTTCTGCCGGCAGCCTCCGAGGGGATGGAATGTATGACAGAAGTTGTTTTTAATATTTGTGGAGCACCCCACAGTGCCCAGATGCAAGAAAGATCAAACCTTTGTTGGTTCCGCTAATGCCAGGGGCTTCTGTTGTCAAGTGGCAAGGGTCATACTCTTCCAGGTCATTCCTGCCTCTTACAGGCATATGCTGATCGCTCTTCAGGTTCTTTTGTTTAAAAAAGATTGTATTTATTTATTTGAGAGAGAGAAAGAAAAAATGAGTGGGAGGAGGGGCAGAGCAAGCGGGAGGAGCAGGCTCCCTGCTGAGCTGGGGCCCTGGGGCTGAATCTCAGGACCCTGGGATCATGACCTGAGCTGAAGGCAGCCACTTAGCAGACTGAGCCACCCAGGAACCCCTCTCCCGTTTTTTTTTTTTTTTTTTTTATGGTTCAGGCTGGCCTTTCTCTTTTACTTTTCCATTTTCTCCCATCAGGGAGGCTTGAGCTGGAGGCAGGAGGTAATGCTGTCTCTCCAGGGTGTGCCAGAGAGAGGGAGAGGGGGAGGGAGAGGGAGAAAGAAGGAGAGGGGGAGGGGGAGAGAGATAGGGGAACAAGCTGGGGGAGGAGGAAGGAAGCAGAGCAGGGGAGAGAGGGAAGAAGGGAGAAGGAGAAGGAAAGAGAGGAGGAGGCAGCCCCCGTGTAAGAATCAGAGCCACGATGGAGAGCTGTGGAAACACAAGGCTGATTAAAAGGGACCCGGGCTCTGTCCTTTTCCTCCTAGCCCCCAGGAGATACTGATTGAGTGCCTCAGCAGTGAGTGACAGGGAGACCTGATTTTCTCCTCTTCTCAAGTCTTGCTTGGACATTGCAATGGCCTTCTGTGTCGATTTTTTCCCTTTGCTCCTAGTCTCTCTCCCTCCAATACAAGCACCCTGAGTAACCAGCAGAGTAACCCTAAGGAAGGCAAAGCAGACTCTACCAGCCCCAGCACCACGTCTTCCGGTGGCTCCCCAAGTCTGCAGGATTAAGCCCAGACATCAGCAGGAATCAGATTGGTCTGCAGCCAACCTTGAGAACTGTCTCCTGCCACGTCTCTCTCCCACTTACATTTTTCATTCTACCTCTAGGAGACAAGGTGCAGGTCCTTATATGGGTCTGGTCTCTGGCTGGGCCGGCCTCGCTTTTAGGGTACCACAGAGCATGGTGGAACCAGGAGGGTCTCTCGTGCATAGCTGCAGATCACAGGGTGACTCATGACCCCAAGAGTCTAGGAGATCAAAGTCATGTAAGTAGAACCAAAACATGTCACATGTCCCATGAGCAGAACATGTCAAAGTAGAACCAAAACATGTCACATGTCACATGAGCAGAAGACCAGAGACAAGGGGATCAGAGACCCATGGGAAGTACTGGCGAGGAGCTAGAGAAAGGGACTGTGTAAGAGCTGCCAGACCTGCAGATTATCCCTGCACTTTGGACATCTGCTGATATGACAGGTGAGGAGCCAAATTCCATAAAAGGCCTGAGGCCCCTGTGTGTCTTGCTTCTGTGCCTTTGCCTGCTCTTTCTTCCCTTTGCCATCTCTCCCATTTTCACATCTGAACTGCCGCTCATCCTCTGAAGCTAATTTATTATATCAGCTTCTCTGAAGGTCTTCCTTGACCCTCTCAGATAATTAGTATCTCAGTCCTCTGTACTATTTTCATTTCTTCTGCATACTTCTTCCTTTTTTTTTTTTTAAGATTTATTTACTAACTTGAAAGAGAGAGAAAGAGAGAGTGCTGGGGGAGGGAGAGAGGAACAGAGAGAATTTCAAGCAGACTCCCCACGGAGCACGGAGCCCGAAGCGGGGCTCGATCTCACAACCCTGAGATCAGGACCTGAGCCAAAATCGAGAGTTGGATGCTTCACTGACTGAGCCGCCCAGGTGGCCCCCCCTTCTGCATACATCTAATACATTGGCCTCATGTCCTCATTGTAGTTATATTTACCTGTCGGCATCCCCCTTATTAGAATGGAAGTGTCTGGACAGCAAGAACTTTGTCTCAGTTGTCTCTCTCTAGCCCTGGTGCCTGGCCAAATGGCTGACACATAGCAAGTAAATTATGTATGGTTCTTGAACTGAGCATAACAGAACTGAGATTAGGAAAGGAGAAGGAGCACTGTGAGGTGGACTTCATACTCCCCCCACACACACACACTGCATAGATTTAGCAACATGGCCATGTACCCCTTGGTTCATGTCCATTGGACTACACTGCAAATGGTGCTCCAGAGTAACCTGGACGTCTGTCCTTTCAATCAAATCCAACAACATGATAAAGAGAAAAGTAAAATACCACAGAGCAAAAGTTATTAAGTTCAAGGTTGGGAACAGATCTGAGGTCTTCCCAACCTCTAATGCTAGTGCTTTAGTCCTTGGCCTCCGAGTCAACACAAGGGAAGAATCACTTCCTTATTGCTCTGAAATGCCTGTCTTATTGCTCCTCCAGCTAGTGAGCAAACTAAGGGTTTGTTGGGAGGTCATAGGTAGGGATTTCTCAGAGTGAACTAATATGGTGCCGTCCACTAGTGGGCATCTTGGAGCTTCCCCTACGTTCTCTAACTAATTAGACCTTCTGGAATCCAGCCCTGTCAAGTGTTCAAAGGAGGCCTGGTGTGGCGCCCTGGTGTGCAGTATCAATGTCTGACCAACTTTAATAAATCCTCTGGCTTCTAAGTTTTAGAAAAAAAACAGACCCATTCCTTTGGCCTGGTCTGCTAGGAGAAATTTGGCCCTACATTAAATGTCAGGAAAAGACAAATCGAGTCTTGGTGTTTACTTCAAAGAAAACATACACAAATAACCCAACCCTAGTCCAAAACCCGTTATCTACCACCCACATGTAACCCCCACCAACCTACTTTCAATTCATGAATCTATTTGTCTTCGAGAATTTCACATTTTTTGTCTTAACTTTGTGTCCTGACTTTCTCTGGGAGATGTCTTAGTTTAGAGTCTGAACATATGGGAACCCAGAATAAATGAGGAATTCAGACCCTTGACCCTTTCTTTGATGAAAGTCAGTAGCATAATGAGTCAAGACTTGGACTTTGAGGGCAGAGAGACTCGGGAGAATCGACATTTCTTCTCAGCATCCAGATGGTCTTGGGCAACTAATTTATATTCTTCCAGCCTTACTTTGTCCATCTATTAAATGGGGACAACCAACCTTGTCAAAAGAAATAATATATGTGAAGCATCCAGGAAAGTGTTTGGCACAGTGCAGGTTCACAGTAAGTTATGGTTAGTATTATATTGTTACTCTGAAAATAATCTCATGAGATTCCTGTGGGTCTTGGTGCTTAGTTTTTAGCATCTGATTTGGTCTCCTACTCACTCTAGCTGTTTCCTAGGCCTTGAACAGTTTGCTATGTTCCTCATTATCTACTCAGCCTCCAGAAGTCCTGGATTTGTTCTAGTCCAGATTCTGCAAGGACTGTCTGTGTGTCTTTGGACAAGTCACTTAACCTCTCTGTACTTACTTTCTCTCCTGGCTGTGATGGTGTAGGCCAGGTGACCTCTGAGCTCTGCCTCTTCTAGATCACCCTGTGGTTTGTGTCCTGAAGTGGCCAGAGAAGTGACTGTTAAGAGGTTGATCCTCAGCAAAGGGACCTCCTCTGAGCTTGTATACATCTCTGGCCTGAAGCCAGAAGGTCTGGCCTCCACGCCAGTCAAGCTGCCAGCTGGTGTTCTTTACATCTTGCTGTTTCAAGTAAATTCACAAAGCTGTAAGTTTCCTCATAGAGTTTTGCCATGCACATGACAGGGCACTTGGGCTCAGGAGGACTCTTTCCTGTCTGGGTGCCCTTGGCCCGGATGCCCATGGAGAGGCAGGCTGATTTGGGTCAGTAGAAGCTCTGACAGCTACAGGCTAAGAAACCACAAAATGTGCCCCATTCTGCCTAGTCCTCCTAACACCCTTTGGGGCAGATGTTGCTTTCAGCAACAAACCAGGGCTATGATGGTTGGTGCCTAGGAGCTGGGTTTCAAGAATGCAGAAATGTGCACTTAAAGGCTTTGGGACACCTTCTTGGTGACTGGTAGGCTGCCTCTGCTGGCATCAGAGTATCTCCTGTTCCCACAGGTGAAGAGAAAAATTAGATTTTGGTGAACTGGATCATTAAAAGCTGTGGGAAGGAACTTGACTCCCGCTCTATGATTAGAAACTTTTCTGTGTTTGTGAGTGCCTGTCTATCGGTGTCTGTATCTATCTGGCTGGAGGTGTTTTTTTAAACCAGCTTGTAGAAAGCTGAACAGGGACTTTGTACTCCGGACAATGGCTGAAAGAGGGTCTGCTCCTTGATCCCAGGGTTGCCATGACGACTGTCCTCTGGGAGCTAAAAGTCCAGGGCTACTCTTACTAGGCCAGTAGTGCAAATGACTGCAACCACAACTCTTCCTCCACTCTGCCCTCCCCACCAGAAAATATCTTTTTCCCCCATGGGAGGGCAAGGGAGAGAAAGAGCTGACAGAGACAATGTTAGGACTGTTGGTGGATTATTGGTGTATAACCCAGCTGTCTGCCCTGCCTTCTCCCCACAAGCTAAAGTCTGACCTCACACTTCATTTATGCCACTGATCAGCTTTCTGGGCTCTAAGTCAAATTGGGAAGAAAGCAATA